AGACCAGCCTGGCCAACATGGTGAAACCCCATCTCTACTAAAAATATAAAAATTATCTGAGTGTGGTGGCGGGCACCTGTAATCCCAGCTACTCAGGAGATTGAAGCAGGAGAATTGCTTGAACTCAGGAGGTGGAGGTTGCAGTGGGCCGAGATAGCACCATTGCACTCCAGCCTGGGCAACAAGAGCGAAACTCCATCTCAAAAAGAAAAGACAAGACTGCAGCTGACCCTTGAACAATTCAGGGGTTTAGGAGTGCCAACCCCACCCCACTCCATGCAATCAAAAATCATTATGTAACTTTGACTCTCCAGAACTTAACTTCTAATAGCCTACTGTTGACCAGAGCCTTACCAAAAACATAAACATTCGATTAACATATTTTGCATGTCATGTGTATTATATACTGTATTCTTACAATAAAGTAAGCTAGAGAAAAGAAATTATTAAGAAAATTATAAGGAAGATAAAATACATTTACTATTCATTAAGTGGAATTTGGATCATTGTAAAGGTCTTCATCCTCACCCTTCACATTGAGTAGGCTGAGGAGAAAGAGGAAGGATTGGTCTTGCTCTCTCAAGAGTGGTAGAGGTAAAAGAGATAGAGGAGGTAAAAGGGGAGACAGGAGAGGCAGGCACACTCAGTGTAATGTTTATTGAGAAAACTCCGCATGTAAGTGGCCACACAGGTCATACATATGTTGCATTTATGCCTAGTGTTCCATTATTGGAACGCTAAGCATGTAGGAGTTATTTATATTCTACTGCTTGAGATCATTGCCAAGGTCTGATTTCTCACTCACACACAAATTCAAAAAATTGCAACCTCCTGCATAAATGGGTTAAGGTTACTTGACTACTTAACAAATTGTATGCTCAGTTCCTAAGGGTTTTTCAGACACTGAAGGTGGGGGATATCACTGCACTGTGGTAAAGAGGAAACACTTCCTAAAAAAGGAATTTGGGTTGGGCCTTAAAAGATGGATAGAATTTGCTCAGTAAACACTCGTTGGGATGTGTAGTTTGATTCAACCATCATCCATCTCATGCTGACTTCTAGACAGTAGTCTAATGCTTAGCCAGGTAGAGACTTTGCCTTGGAACCTGAGGCCAAATATGTGCTGTTCACTGCATTCCCAGAGCTGCTTTCTACTCTGGCCTGGCCCTTTGTGTTTTGGTCAATATTGGTCAAACTTAAAGTCATGAATGTCAGTCCCTGCTCTGAGTTTCAGAATGACCACCACATGTCTGGTCAGTACTGTAAGGCACCCACACTACCGTGGAGACTTAAGACCCCTAAAACCACCTCTCCTACAGTGTAAGTGGAAATCAGTGCATTTCCTGAACCAAAATCTTAACAGATATGTCCCTTGTCTTCAGAATTGTCAGGACCAGGAATTCTGGTTCTGGATCACTGAAGGCCATTACTGCCTACTTGATCCGGAAATTCTCAAACCTACTTTAGTTCTTATTTCTGATATACCTCTCTGCACAGCATCTCAAAGGTTTATGCTATCCCCAAGCTGTTGCTGGTACCCAGCCTCCCACTCCTCTGGGTCAGTGCAGAGCTCATCTGCCCTTTAGAGCCTTCCCTGAACACTCTCAGACAGGGGAGTCTAAGAACCCTTGGAACAACTTGGGGACTAATGGTCTGGACCATTACTTTGGAACTTAATCTCTGCCATCTAAATTATCTTCATATAAATGTTTATTTTGTTTCTCCAGCTAGGGCAGAGATAGGAATCATTTGATAGTAGCTTCTTGAGGGCAAGGCCCTTCACTGTCATTTTTTTATCCCCTGGATTTGCTGCACTAAACTGTCTTGCATTGGCCTTGCAGAGCGTCCAGCCCACAGCCTTTCCCATTAGGATCCTCCATAAATGCTTGGCATCAGGCTGGTTAATTGTGCCATGCCTGGGCCAGCACATGTGATTCTACTTCTGTAGGATGGACCGGTCGTAGCCTGGCCTTGCCTTCCTCTTTCAACAGCCTCACTCTTCCAGGGCTTTATTAACCATATTCTTTGTGAATTTTTGGCTCACAGGTCGTGCCGCCACCACAACAGAATGATCTTGAGATTCCTGAAAGTCCTACCTATGAAAATTTCACCTGAAAGGAAAAGCAGCTGCTGCCCGTCTCCCGGGACCGTGGGGTTGGAGAGTCAGCTGGACCTCATGGGGCCTGGGGCTCACAGACAGAAGCACCTCAGTGCCTCAGAGATGCCTGGGTGTGGCCCCTCCCCATCCTTCTCACACTCAAGGCCTCCCAAGCCCATTAATAGTTCAGACACAGGCTCCTTCTTGGAGCCTATGGGCTTCAGATGTCTTTGCCCCATTTGTCACCTCCCACACTCATAGCGTTTCCTTCTCGAAATTCTACCACAACTGGTCAAATGTTGCTGAGGGACCTGGACCAGCTGACCTTTACACCACCTTCTCAACACTGCTGAAATGAACCCAAGAGAATTGTCACACATGACACAAGATGTACGTAAAATCATGCTCACTGCAGTGTTATTTAAAATAAAAGGCAGGGAATAACCTAGATGTCCATTTGGTGAGAATCCAGTTACATATACGATTATATACCCATGCAACGGCAAACCCTGCCACTTGGAAAGCAAGCAAGGACTAATAGGTGCTAATATGGAATGGGCTGTAAGATACATTATGGAGTGGAAAAAACAAAGTTCAGGACCATGTGTATTGTATGCTACCAATTGGATTTTTAAAAAACTGTACGTTGGTCAGGCGAGGTGGCTCATGCCTGTAACCCCAGCACTTTGGGAGGCCAAGGTGGGCAGATCATTCTAGGTCAGGAGTTCAAGACCAGCCTGGTCAACATGGTGAAACCCCGCCTCTAATAAAAATACAAAAAACAACTAGCTGGGCCTGATGGCTGTAATCCTAGCTACTTGGGAGGCTGAGGCAGGAGAATCACTCAAATCCGGGAGGTGGAAGTTGCAGTGAGCAGAGATCGCGCCACTGCATTCTACCCTTAGCAACAGAGCAAAACTTTATCTCAAGAAAAAAAGAAGAAAGAAAGAAAAGAAAAAAATGTAAGTCTACATGCTTACATAGGCATAGAAAAGCTTTGGAAAGAAATACAAAAAACATTAGTGGTTGCCTCTGGGAAGGAACTGGGAATCTCGAGCTGGGAAAGAGACATTTTTTACTGCACAATTTTTTGCACTGCTGGAGTTTTTTAAACCGTATGTGTGTATTACTCTTTTGCTATTTTGTAAAGGTGCTTAAAATGCCTGTTTCAAATGAGCTTCCCATATTTACCTAAAAGAATTTCCCTCCTTATTGTCCAGTCTGGATACAGAATGCCCACAGTATCTCTCCCCAAGACTGTGGCTACAGCCCTCTCCTCTGCCCGTAATATGCACTATGCTTGACTTATATTCATGATACTCTAGCGTACATTTCTGTTACCATCACCTTGCAGCCCATCTAGGTCCTTTAATTGTGTGCTGCCTCTGTCATGCTCTCCTGCACATGGGCCTGGAATCAGTATGGCTTCTGTTACCTGCAGTGGGTACTCCCAGGGGTTCAAGCAGTGCTTCTTACACAGCAGGAGCTTAATTACTGCTTGTTCATTGACTGGCTTGTTGCATGGATAATTATCTTTGTTAGACATTATCAGGGAAGCTCAACAATCAGTCATATAACATGGTGATATTGTACATCTTTCTTTCCATAATACTGCATCCTCAAAAGCCCTGACCCCACAGGGTCTCTTCTGCTCCTCAAATAAATCTGGCCAGTTCAAGATCTATGCAGGACACGTGAAAGGCCAGCAGCAGTTAGTGGTCAGAGTCCTTGGTGTTCATCTGGACTGTTTCTGACCCCCGTCATTTCCTGCTGCCTCTGCTCACTGAACCCCTTGACTCTGCAACTCAACTCCCAGTACCACACTCCTTCTGAATATATTTCCCTGGTTTTTAAGCTTCACACTTGCTTTAAGATGTAATCTGTTCACACTTCTCTCCAGGAGGAAGCCAGCCTGGCCAGCAGCACAGTCTCAGGGGGGAGGGATCCTGCAGGGTGTGATCAAGTGCATGCCTTGGCTCTCCTTCACAAGATGGAATAGCCGCTGGTGTCTGGTTCTGTGCTGTCCCAGTGCGAACAGGGCTGAAGGACACTGCCAGCTCACCAGAAAGCCAGACCCTCTACAGCAGTATTCAAACAGACATGTTTATGGACGGCCCACAAGTGTCCTTTGGCTGCTATAGAGAATAGAAATGCAGGGTATGGAGAGGATACATAAATTTAATTCAGGTAAGGAATTCAGACTGCATCTGCATGATATCACTATTTTATATGAAACTCCTGTATTAGATACAGGGTAGGACAATTGAAGAATCAGGCTTTGTGCAGTATCACCTGTTGGGATCTCTGAGTAAGTCCTCTCCCAGTTCACCCTTGTCCTTTTCCTGGGCTCAGCCAGAGCCCTGCTCCCCACAGCCTTGTTGAAATGTCTGGACTGACGACTCAGGGAACCCAGCATAGTGTCTAGATTCCAACTGCCTCGTGCTCAGCTCTCAGCTGCCTGAGCCCTCATCAGTGCACCTAGGGAGCACTCATCAGGACTCAGAACTTAAATAGAATATGGCTTCTGAGAGGCCTCTTCCTCTGGGAAGCCACTTCTATGAAGAAGCCAAAATGGATTTCTAACAATGTGTCTTCATAAATCAAACATCATACCGTGGACAAAGCTGGTCTCAACCCCCAGTTATCAGGTTGGCATGTGCTCAGGGTGATTTTTCTACTCAGAGATGGGCTTGCTTTGCACCATCTACTCTCCCTTCAGCTTACTCCCCCTGGTGGCCAACTGGCCAGAGGTAAAGGTGTGAGATGTAGGGGGAAAGTTTTTTCTCTGCAATTGAGTCAAGCCCAGGCCCTGGCTCCTGGTGCAGAACCTGCCAGGCAGCTCACAGCCAGACAGTCCAGGCTCTCAGCGGAGGCTGCTTCCTCTTCCCCTGAGTCACCATTATCGTTCCTTCCTCTTGCTTTGGAAGATGGGCCTGGGCCTGGGCCTGGGCCTGGGCCCAGGGAGAGTCTAGAAATGCAGTCAACCCAGATTGAGGAGAAAAGGAGACAAGGGACAGCTTGAAAATCAGGTGGACAGAATCTCGATGCTGATAACATCACTTACATACACTTCCTAGATTACAAATACTTGGAAAGTGGCCTTTTGTGAACAACCTAACCCCTCCACCCATTCATGTCTGATTTGTAAACTGGAAGATATTATTTAACAGCCTTGCTCTTACCATGGCTGTTAGACATCATTTTCAAAACAAAATATAAAACAAGAACAAATTTCCATATCCTCTCCAAACTAGGAGCTGTTCTATGAGACTACTGTGCCATCATCCACTGTGCCAATTCCCAAAGCAGATGCTGATGTGCAGGAAAGGTGAGAATTGCTGCAGCAACTAGGAATAAACATCAAAGTTCTCCAGCTCTTTGCGGCTCAGTCGAGCAGGGTTCTGGGCTTTAGGTTGACTCTTTTCAATCTGCAAAAGAAAAGGAGAAACTTCAGGCCCTTCCACTGGGAGGTCCTTATAACAATCCTGTGGGGTATGAATTGCCATCCCCATTTTACAGATTTTAAAAATGAATCTCAGAGTGGTAAAACAAATTACTCAGGGTCCACGACTAGGGTGAAGTGCAGGAGGGACTTGAATCTAGTTCTTCTGGCTCCAATTCCAGTACTCTCTTAACCATATATGCTTTTTCATGACCTCACAAGCTATCTGAGTCTACACAGTGCCCTCTATGACCCTAGGTTGTCCAGTCGGCTTTAATGTTGGGTGATAGCTGAAGTGCCAGGAATACCGGCAGGCAGCCATCCACCCCCTCCCTTGTGACCAATGGCAGCATCTTTATTGGACCACAGGTGGGGAGGCTCAGGTGTAGTGTGAGGCTTACTGGGTCGGGGGGGAGGATGAGGGATGCTCTCCATGCCTTAGTTTCTCTGAGTATAAATGGAAAGTATAATTATACCTATCTTGTAGCATTTTGTGAAGATTAAATAAAATAATCCATGTGAAGACACTGGAAGGCTACCTTACCCATAATAAACTCCCAAGAAATGTTGAGTACCTCCTTTCCAGTCTCTAAATGCTCTGATGGAAATTCAGCCACCAGGCTCAGTGGTCATCTTTGAATAGTGTCCACTCCTGAAGAAGATTAAGATCACCTATGTCCTGCAATGGCTCCCAAAGACTTGCTAATTTTAGAAAATCATTTAGAGTGCTTTATCTTCCCTCTCTGACCCCTCCCCCAACCATTCTTGGAAAGGGAAGATGTCCAGTTTGTGGCCCACAGCCTGGGAACTAGCTTGGGGACAGCCCTAATGTAGAACCCAAGCTGCCCAATAAGTGTCGTATCTAAACACACAACATGATCTTGGGTTAGACCCTCACTCTCCTTGGCCTTCAGTGTCTTCATCTCTAAAACAGAGGCTTGCATTAGAAGATCTCTAAATTCCCTACAACTCTGAGACCATGTGGATGACCTTTTCCTAAGTGTACCCTTTCATGGCTAGATTTCAGGGCTATGCCACAGACACTAAACCCATTGAGGAGTTCCAGAATCTTACCACTTCATAGATAGTGCTATTGAAGGAAGGGCTGTGGTTCCTCTTTCTGGATCCAGGCTAGAAATTCAGAAGGTAAAGAATGCTTAACTTCGAGATAAGTGCTCTCCCACTCCTAAGTGATGTGAGAGGTCCCAAAAGAGACTCAGGGCCCAGAAAAATTCTGAGGCACTCTCAGCCGGAAAATGAATAGAATCTATCACCCCAGGAGCAAACAATGGTGTTTATGGTCTCCAGGGAAGACACAGTATATACAGTATTTGCCTATAATATGATATTTCTGAACCAAAATCAGAATTTACTGTTCCATACCCACATACACCTAAAACCCATACATATGTGTGTGTATGTATATATGTATGTGTGTATATATACACACACACGCACACACACACACGCACACATACACATTCCCAGAGCACATACACATACACATACACACACACACATACCCGCAAGGCAATCCTAATGCAAATACTGCCCCAAACCATATAACTCTTCAACACATGGTGTACATACACCCTTAATGTAAACAATTCAGGCATATAAGCAATTGCCAACCCAAGGACACTAGAATTCAGAGGCACATTCAGTAGCACATAGAGTTTTCATATACCAAAGCATGTGAATGTGGTGCCTATGAACATCTATAAGGCCTTATATTGTAGCATATAATTAAAAATAAATCTCTCTCATGATGGGATCCAAGTAGGTTGAATGGCTTATTGGAAGGAGGTTGAATGAAAAGTCTGAAAATCTGTCCTAAACCCCTTCAAACCTGTGGTCCCTGACTTGCATGGACTTCCACAGTTATGTGGACTCCCAACTTCCCATGCTACCATGTTAAGGTTTTCTGACTTCATACTATGGCTCCAGCCTTGGGAACACCACTCTTCCCATCCCCTTCTACACAAGAGAAAAATAATGACCA